ATCTCTCGGCTGGCCTGGGAACGCCTTGATGTTCCCCCGGATAAGCTGGAGTCAGCGGCTGGGGAGAGGGAGGTCTGGGCTTCTCTGCTTGGGCTGCTGCCCCTGCGACCCTGGTCGCTGGTCACTTGTTGGATGTGAAGAAGTGAAATGTCAGAGATTGTGAGATTGTGAGAGGCGGGGTCCACCCTGGACAGGTCGCCAGGCTGATGCAGGGCAGTCAAACTTTAATCAGACACAATTTTTGCCATGTGTTCTCTGCGGAGTGTGATTATGCTTTGTGTTTGAGTCACACCAACCAGCGTGATGCTCAAATGAGCAGATTGACAGGACAACGTGGAACAGAAAGGAAACATGCTGCTGCAGTCTCACCTTTCTCTGTTTTCTCCTCTTCGGTCAGAGCTCGCTTTGCACGCACGACAGCTGTGCACGCCTCATCTGAAACACCATAACCAAAGCACGAGTGAGCCGTGCAGCACTTTAACCACAGCGTCTCCCTTCACTCATTTACTGACTGACGTACTGCTGGTCGAGGGGGCCGTGTTGGCGTTGGTGATGAAGGTGAGGCCGGCCAGACGGAAAACATCAGCGCTGTCTTTACCGCCGCCTCCACCGCAGCCCAGGTCGCTCTGCTCGATGTGACGAAGAACCTGCGGGTCAAAGTTCATTCTGTCAGTTGTCAACACGTGGAAATTGAAATATCGTCCTTTAAAGTCCGAGTCGACATAAAGGGCCATCAGTTTGTTGTTGTGTCTGTTTTTAAAGACAAACCGAAGCAAACTGCCTCGGATAAAACGGTATGATTTTGACGTTACCATGGAAACAGGGTCTCGGTAGTTGGGTCGTAGGGTAAAGATGGCGGCGTCGACAGCAGACAGAGCCACCAGGCCATCCTGATTGGCCCTCACATCCAGCTGGAGTTGTTCCTTGGGCTTGTAGTACTGCTTACCCAGAGACATGTCAGTCTACCACACACACACACACACACACACACACACACACACACACAAAGGATCAGCGATATTCGATGTTCTGCCCAGAAGCTTACAGGAAGTGCACAAACATACGCGACAACACTGACACAGAACCTTTTCTGGTTTTTATGAAGTCCTAACTATCCATCAGTTTTCTCCCGCTTATCCAAAGACAGCCATGGTGACTTTGGATAAGCGGGTACTCCAGGCATCCTCCGCTCTACAGACACTTTCCAGCTTCTCCTCCGGGATCACGATGTGCTCCAAGGCCAGATAAGATATACAAATAACCTCTCCAGAGGGATCTGGGCCTGTGCAGAGGTATCAGAGCCCAGAACACCCTCCTTCCTGACCAGTGAGGTCACATTCCACATCCCAAAAACCACATCTGTAATGTTGAGGGTCAACACATCTTCCACCCAGCCTGTCCCTGTGGGTGGCGACTCCACAGAGACGGGATCATGGTAGGTATTCAAGTTATTTCTTCTGGCTGTGCTCAGCCCTCTGAATTCAGCCCCGTCCACCAACCTGTACTCTGGGGTCCAGATTCAGGAGGGGGCCCTGGTTTTTCACTTCCAGTGAGGTTATCCAGCACAGAGATTTCTGTTTCTCTCTGGTATTTTGAAGCGTTAACTGCTCTAGTGCTGAGAGGCTGTTCTGGGATCAGACACACAGAAGATGAAGGTGCAGGCAGGGTTTGAGCCACCGGGCATCAACCATCAGCTAACAGCTAACACCACACTGATGCCCATGCTGTGCGCTCTCACAGCAAGCAAACTGGTCTCAGGATTGCACTCAGGATTAGGCTTGCACTGGTCTATTAGCTTTAGGTCATCCCGAGGTTCGACTCTTGGATTACAGGTCCAGAGCTTCGGGTTTTCTTGGGTTTTTGGTTCCTGTTGGATATGAAGAAGCGTGACCCCCATTTCACACCTGCAGCACCTCCCTGCCCCCCTGAAACCTCGTGTCAGTCTTATTCCAGGCGTGTTTACCTTCCTTGACGTCCGTTTGAACACATCATTACACCAGACTCCGGAGTGACAAACCACAGGCTGTTGTGTGATGTTGTACCTGGAGCCCACTGATGCATCTGTCTTCGACGGCCAGCCACACGGAGTCAGCCACCAGCTCGAACGTCCCCTCTCCAAACAGGATGTAGTAGACCAGCAGCCTGATGGACGGCACCATGGCGGGCGTCACCTGAAAGCTCAGGCTCTGTTTGTTGGCAGCGTTGGAGAGAAACTTCTGGCTGCCAAAATCCACCACCTTCCCTTTAGAGATCACCTGAGGGAGCGCGGCACAATGTTGTGAGAAATAATACGAACAGGAAAAGCAGCATCGTGTGGCAGCTTCTCCTCACCAGGTAGCTGATGGTTGTGATGGGAATGTAGGAGGGCGTGGCCGAGTACACGCTGAGACGCGCTGGTCGTCCCACCTGGAGGCCGGGACCCATCAGCGGGGCGTCGATGTAGAGATAACGTTGGTTTGGCGAGTAATAAGCGACCGCCGTCAGAGTCAGACTGCTCTGACTGGCTGCTGGGAGGGTGGAGTCATCCGTCTGAAACTGCCAACAACAGCAAGGGGAGACGTTAGCAACAAGTACACAACTAAACAATAAGTCCACACCATCATGACACGAAGTTAAAATTTAAAAGACAAATAAACAACAACGAGTGAAGAAGCAGACAAGACGGGAAAAAGTAAACAACGAAATACAAACAAAATAAATAAACAGTAAATAAAATAAGAAAACAAGGAAACAACACGTAAATAACAAACTAAAGAAGCACACAGGAAACAGATCTGAGCAACACTTCCGGTCTTCTTTCTTTGGTCATTGTCACACAGTCACATGATCATGTGCTCACAAATCCAGCACGGCGAGTTTTACCTGTCCCTGAGACACACACATCTAAAGCACCTGCAACGCCCACCTTGAGAACAGCCCTGACTCCATCACGAGGTGTGTTGCAGATGAAGAAAGTGAGGCCGTTTGATTCGCTGGTGGAGCTGTCGGTGCAGGACATGGCCTCGAGGTCCCTCCCCTGTCTGAGCAGCTCATTCTCCACCAGACTGACCTGAACACCTCTCACTGGCTTGTCCAGGTGATCCTTCACCTGCACCTGTAGAGACACGGTGAAACAGCAAAAATGGACAAACTGCTTTAAACTCGAGGAGTGTTACCGAGATGTATTTGTGTTAGTTGCAGCTGTCTCAGAGAAGATTAATGGATGTAGGACATGTGCAGAGGAGGATGCTGTGATGGGAGGAGGTGGATGATCCTCTGTGGCCACTCCTAAAAGAAGAAGAAGCTGCAGCAACGTCTCTTCTCGAGTGCTAGTTATTCGAGTATGTAGACATTTCTGTTGCTGGGATCTTCAACATAATGAAAGATGTCAGATGATCCTTCTGTGAAGTAGGTGCCATCACAGCAATGTGTCTTTGTAATCATCTGTTTGTTAAATCTGATATAATTCATCATCTCCAGGTCAACATGTTTCCCAAAGACAACCAAACGCAAAAGGTTAAAAATGTAACGTCCAGCAGAATCCAGGGGAAAAAGGAGAGTGGAATTACAGGTTAGGACCAAAGTTCCCAATGAAAGATGTGTTTGAAACTCATGTAAGGCTCATGTCTCATGACAGAAAGAACGAGATCGCGGATACAAGCGGCGGAAATGAGCTTCCTCAGAAGAGTGGCTGGCCTCTCCCTTAGGGATAGGTTGAGGAGTTCAGCCATCTGGGAGGGGCTCAGAGTAGAGCCGCTGCTCCTCCACATCGAAAGGAGCCAGCTGAGGTGGTTTG